CATCAGGCTGTTGATTCTTACTTAAATGAGAAGTAGCGTCTCTTAAATCTGTGGCATTGATCACACAAGCTATTGAACCAGGGTGAGGGGCGGGGAACAACAGCCTGCTTTTCAGAGGGGTTTGAGAACTGTGTAATCCTGCACTCAGTGATGTCTACTAGAAAATATGTGCAGCTGTATTAATCAAGGAGCAGGCATTAATGGTGAGCAGATATCATATGAACTGCTGTAGGCACAATCCTAGCTTATCTCCACCCAAAAATAATAAAATCCCTCTAGTACTGAATAGAAGGTTAAATATACACTGACTATCCTAGGGGACTCTCCAATTTTCTCCTCTCTGATTTTCCAAGACATCTGATATGTTCTCAGTCTCTTCTATGGAGACAGTACCTTGAAATATCTGGTGACTCTCTAATAAAATCCTAAGATTATTCCCTTCTTTGTAATTCACCCAAAGGGTAACAAGCAGATGGAGCAGCTGAATGCTTTAACTCCCAGCAGCATCTTTTCCCAAGGCTTTTCACTCTGTCCGACATTTACACATTTGCAGTGAGCACAAAGCAACTGTCACTCAGTACAGCTGTACTCAGTCCCAGTGCCCACCAGCCTAAATAGGTGAGCACAGCACCACACTGCAAAGGTCGGGGCCCTAAGGCCCAGGAACTGGTGATCTGTTGGGAAGTTAGGAACTTCAGTAAGAATTTGGAAATAAAGATTTGTGTGGACTGGGTCTTCTGCTTTGTTGGTGATACAGAGTTGCATACAATCCTATCCACCCCACACTATTTAACTGAGACCTGGTCAAAATGCATCTATCTAGCAACAAGAGGAATAGAAGGTGGTCACAAACTATACAGGGAAAAGCCTTAATCTTAGAAACAAAACAAAACAAAAAAAACCCAAACCCATAAAACCCCAAAACACACCACCTTTTTCTTTGGCACAGATAACCTTCTGGATAATAACTTTGTCCATAAATAAGGGCTAAGCCAAGTCAGAGAAATCCAGGTCTTTCTAGTCTTTCCACGTGTTGCAGTTCCTTCAACCTTTCATTATTTTTGCTGGAGGGTTGGGAGGGGGGCATTTATTTTTTAAACTGAACTCCCTGAAATTTCAACATCTTCCTTAAGGCGTTGAGACTCATCATGTCCTCTCACAATGCAGAGAACACTGCCAGGATCAGAACAAAGATCAGATCACTGCAAAATACTTCTTTCTACCTGTTGAAGTTTATGAAAGCTCCTTACAGAATCAGAAATCTTACCTTTGATTTTTTTTAAGGAGTGTTTGAAATATTTTCTACACCAAAGCCATTTGTAGGTGCCCTTACTCAAAGCAAGTAGCATTTTAAGCCCCCAACAGACCCTATTGGCTTAAAGCAGGGTGATTCTTAATTCAGGTGAATGCAACATGGCCATGCTAGAATATTTCTCTCCAGCAAAACTCTTGTCCAGTGCGCTTTTATTCAAGAACCAGTAATAAAATGAAGGGCTGATGTGGTGCACTAGTATTTCCTCAACTAATATCTAACCAAAGTCTCATATGGTCAAAAGATCAATCGGTTTATATATAGACCCCTCTCAATTTATACATATTTGATAGCCCATTCAAGCCAGATGGCTAAGCCAGGTATCAGTTTTCCATGCCCAAGACAAACGTGACCCAATTACTTTCTGCTTGGCATCTAAAGTCTTTTGGGATGAGTTTTTTTGTAGCCAACCATAAAGCTTATCTGGAAGTAACAAAAATGTTCAAGAAAATGAATCGAAGTTTTCCTTTAATTTTTTTTTTTTTTTTAAATCCTGTCTTCAGGGGAACATTTCCCAGTTGCCAGCACTGGACAGCAAGAGGCTGAGGGCAGAAGGAAAATTCCACAAAAGGCAACACACTGCGTTGACCCAGGCAACATTTCAGCTCTGCCAAAGTCTTTAGAAAGCTCCTCTATTAATGTATTGGGACTGATGGCCAAGATCTATATTAGCTTTCTCACTGCCAGAGTTCCAGCCCCAGCCAGTATTAATCAGGAGGTCTGCACTGTGCTAAACCTATGTTAGCTAATTCAGACAAAAGCATGAACCCCTTTTCTATGCGACCACACCTGATGATGGCTACACTTTGTCCTGAATACATCCCTGTTCCCACAGGCTAATAGATTACAAATAGCAGAAAAAACAAAAGTGAAGGATTAGCAGTGGAGCATTTTTCATACTCAGTATATTTTCCAGATTATTTCTCAAAAAATGCAAATAATCTGTTTGGACAGAATGTTTTCCAGCTAAAATGGTGAGCTTAGAAAACTTTTGCAGTTGTATCTTTAGTTTTTAAAGTAGGAGGTAGGAGGTTAATGTCTCAAATCCAACAAAATATTTTGTCCTATTTTGATTGTTCAGATTGTTCAAAAAAAACCCCCACAACAGTAAAGTTAAGTCTGCTTGGATTTGATTCTTTCTTTCAGAGCCCTCAATATACTGAAAAGAGACATTCACAAAGGTTATGCTTATCTTCAGGGTAACTAAGCGAGCTACAGGAGAAAATTTCCCTCACTAATCACGTTTTGTCATTAGAAAACCAGGAGCAGTGAATGCTCAGCAAAGGAAGTTAACAGAAATTTGAAAGGGGATTTGAGTTTGCAACAGGGAGTCTATTGTTGTCACACAACCATTCCCACCCTGGCTCCATGACACTCTTGACCCAGTTGAGGTGACACAGAAAGGAAGAAGTTTGGAGCAAAGTTTTCTAATCTTTTTATAATGTCCCACAGCATCAATTCAGAGATTTGACCTGGGCTTGGAGGATGCTACATGGTGGGACTAGACCTTTGTTACTGAAGAAGCTGCAGCCTCTACCTCCTGCAACCTACCTAGAAACTCCCCATTTGTAGTCCCACCATGACCCCTCCACTCTGCAACCCAAAAAGCATGTACCCCTTTCCCCACCATGAAGTGTCATCCTTCCAGTTCACAAAGCCTTTTGGGGGTCTTAGCTTCTATCTCGGCTTCTCTCTTGCCTCCACATCACAGAAACCTCAGCAGCACCTCCTCTCACCACACCAGTGAGTTCTGAAGCTGGCATGCTGGTGCCCTGCCTAACCCCAGCCCTAGAGGAAGAGTCCTAGAGAGCATAGGCTACTGTGAATACAAATTTCCCACTGCCCTGCAGGGTACATCTACATATCAGCTGCTAACCTAGCAATACAGTTGGGTCCAAAACGCATGGATAATTTTTCCCTTAAAGAGGTTCAAAATTTGGAAAATGTGACCAGTGCAGAGGAAGAGCTTCACAGTCAGACACCACCTCCGTCAACAGGTTAATCTTCTGTTCAGTGCCAACAACTGGATCACACTGAGCAGACAAGAAGCAGCACCACTCATCTAACATTAAGTGCTGTATTATCCATATAAGGCATTGAGCAAAGCCCAGCGAAGGTACGAGGACCATCCAGCTGCATGTAACACACAACCTGCAAGCCACGTGTAAAACCAGCCAGCTGGGCAAACACGTGGCACCTCTCACCCTCAATGCTCCTTGCTCACTGACTTTATAGCTTATTGGAGAAATAGAATCCTTCCCTATAAGGAAGTCTTGGTAGGTCTGGACAAGGAATATCTCCTCTTGACAGTATGGACCCAGAAAGTGCTGACATGAATCAAACTTACTGCTTGCCACTCCCTGCCCTTCTCCAGCCTCCTAAAAATAGCCATCATAAGATGTCGATCAAGACATGGAGCCTCCTGTCACTTTGCCCTAAGAAAGCTAAAGAACTCGCCAAGGGGAGGGACCGCTTCCTTCAGATACCTAATCCAGGCAATGCCGTCAGCACCGCCGGATAAATAAGGGGAAGAAAGGCCAGGAAAGCAGGACCACTCTCAAGACCTCTCAGCTAATCCCTCCTGCCCGTCTGCTGCTCTGCTTTTCCAACTCTCAACCATGGTGGGTCCACTGGAAAGCTAATGGTTAGCAGCAAGCCAGTGTATTTTACATAAGTAAATTGGGCTTCTCGCTCGAGTTAGTTCTAAGGGGGGGAAGGACAGTTCAGAAGACAGTTTAGGTTTGCTTGGCTTTCCTCCTTAAACCTGAAGGACTATGTGAGGTTTTCCAGTTAGCCTCAAGTTCTGCACCAGGCAATGGTAGACATGCGGCTCCTGTAGCTTCAGGGAGAAGGGTTACAATTTGCTAGTGCTGTCTGCTAAGCATTTTTTTTTTTAATCAGATGCAACTGCTGAAGTGGCAAAGGAAAATAGTAGTATTTTTATGTAAGAAAATATCATAGTTTAGTACTTCATGAAACAATGTACTGTCAAAAACTAACCTGAAATAGAAACTTTAAGGGATTAGTTTAATTTCTACGTTAATGTAAAAAAAGCTGCTTGTTAAGCAATATTACTTCAAATGGTCGTAATAAAACGGGTCTATACTAAAACAGTAAATGACCTGATGGTACGTTAATGACTTCTTTGTTAGTTAAGAGACTTTAGATTTTTGTTGCTTCTAGCCGTAACCCTGGCTTTCCCTGGGATGCAGATTTTAACGGAATCTTTAAGAACAGACCTGGTGATGCATTTTTACAAGGGAAGTTGCTAGTTTAGCTTGCTATGGCCCAATTACATTAGGCAAGACAGATGTGAGAGCGCTCAGCTACTTTGTGCTATTTGCTTTCTCTCAGTGCATTTTCAGCAGTACTAGTTCTCTTTTTTCTCTCTCTCTCTTTCTTCCCAACTGCAGTCCTTCACTCCTGACCAAATTAATGGTAAGTGAAATAAAAGTTAAATTTTAACAGGGGGCAGAAAGGGGAACATAATGGCTACCGAATGCTAAATAGTCACTCGTCTTAACAGCTCTTTTGCTATCTGCATTACTTCTGTGCAGCTGACAGGCCACATTTTTGCTGTTTTGGAAGATGACTCATGGATTGAGCTGGATGCTTTAGAAAACAAACAGATTCTCCCCCACTCCCCCCCTTCCTAAGCTATTTTTTGTGATTGATTTCCTTCCAACAGATCGAGTTCTCCAAGGAGCAACAGGATGGTAAGTTACAAGCGAGCCAATGTGTTTTACATGTACATGGGTTCAGAGAGGAGCTACAGGCTCCGAAGTTTAATCTTTACAAAAAGATGAGCTAGGACTTCAGCTGGTATAAATCACTACACTCTTGACTTCAGAGGAGCAGTGCTGATTTATGCTGAACAAGAATCTGACCATAGATTCACATGTAATTTATCTGGGTGCTTATGTGCTGCCCAAGCTGAGAAGTTTATGCCATGGTGTGAAGAGAAAATAAGCTGGTGTTACCAGCTCTACCTACTGAACATTTTTCAGTTGTGCTCCTGTACTGGCCGTTCACAAGGATGCTGAAAACGGGTCTCACATTTGAAAGTCATGGGGGAAACATGCACAGAAGGAGGGAGAAGGCTGAAAATTTAACTTAGCTGCAGTGACATTGCAGTTTTACATAACAGAAGATGCAAGAGGCCTACATGTCACTTTTGCCAGGAGGTGCTGTGGAAGGGGAGGAAGAAAGGCTGTTTACTGTAAATACATTCATGAAGCATGGAAATAGTTAGCAAATAAGTGACTTGTGTGAACTGTGGCATATAAACACTATAGTCTGGATATGCTGCAATTCTTGAGCATCTTGCTGTATCCTCTGCTTCACAAGCCACCAGCAAGTTCCAAATTTTTTTTTTTCAATCTGCTAGAAAGATCTGATTAAAAATTCTGACATGAACAAAAAACCCCATTGAAGCTCTGGAAATCTAAACTGGAGTGTTTTAAATATCCTAAGAGATGCATTTGGGTTATATGAAATAATGTATGTTTAAAAAAAAAATCAAAAATTCAGTAGCAAATAGACTAGACTTCTCACCGTGAACAAAGTATTTAGAATGGAAGATACAAGGATTTACTAGAAATTCAGAGGGATAGGAATAGCTAGAAGCAGGTCTTAAGAGAGCCCTAAACTTCTTGAACACCAGCCTGCTCTAGGTTACACCATCAAATCAATAGGGAGAGGTATAGTGCAGCAAGTGAGACTGGAAACATTTCTCTTCCTGCAGTCCAAACACTCCTGGTCACAAAGAAAATAATTTGGACTCTTCCTCACTTTTTAATTCGAAAACCAAAAGGGTTGGGAGGGTTTATGGAAAAATGCCATCAGTCCAAAGCTGCTGGCATGCATATCAAAGCAAAATATTTCTTTCAGGTTCCCTACATATTTCAGATCATCCAGCTGCTGTAATGCTGCGATGACTGAACCAAGCAGCAGAGCAATTAAAAGCTACTTGAGAGAGGGAGAATTTCCCAGGAACAGAGATGTCCCACCCTCAGTAACTATTTCCATCCACACAGGCTGATGCACCAGCAGCTGGGTAGTACCATCCTCAGAGAGAGATTTTAGACATGCTTATTCCAGCAGAGGTATAAACTAGGACTAGCTATATAAAAAAAAAACTAAGCATAGCAAAGAAATATTGCAGTGAAATGCATGCCTAAGAGACAATGATAAAATCAGGCCTTTTCTCTGAGCTGGGGAGCAGTGTTCAGAACCCAGTGAACATAAAACTTCATGGGATTTAGAAAAGAGAACTCTCCTGATGGCTTTGCTAATAGCCAACTGGCATTGTTTTATACCTTGCTCTGGCTAAATGTCATTAATGCACCAGATGAAAGATTGGATCATATGGTATAAATCACTACAGCTCCGTCGACCTTAGCTGCTAGAACAGGAGCCGATATCAAGTTGGTATATTTTAAGGGGAAGCTCTACACAGGTCCAGAAGGCCTTGATTTCATACCCTGCAATAAAAGCTGTAAGAGGAGAGGGTTAGCAGTAAAGGGTTATAGGTCTCTCACATCAGACAGTAAGAGGATTAGTTTCAGATGTATTAGATTACAGCCTAGCAGGCTGACATCCTGTATCAGCAGTTTTACTGGGTGCCAGCAACTCCTCCACTAAGGCAGTATATGGATGACTAAAGCAAGAACCTAAATACCTCTGCATCACACGTCCCCAACACGAGATGAACGAAGACATGATTTGAAGTGTGGTTTATTACTCCTAAATCTGCTCCAAGGCACAAATAGCATTCCACCTACCCACACTGTGAAACTCAAAGCCTGTCTAGCTGCTGGAAGCGTGTCACAACCAAGGGAAAGACATTTTACCTGGTTTACTTGGAGCTAAAACACAGCATCATCAGACACTGCAGTGCAGAAAAGATCAACAGCACAGTCCAAGATGCTCTTGACATATGAGGTTTGAAGATAGCTTTTTAGCTAGACCCTTGACTTTTGCCCCCCCCCCCTTTTTTTAAAAACACATTTCTGTATTCATTGCAACAAATACTCTAAAAAACTTGAAAAATACAGTAAGATGATTAACATGGAACTTTGCAACAGAAGATGAAGACTGGCCATGCAATGAAGGCAACCGTTGGTGCTGATTTTTGTAGGAGAAATGTCTGTACCCCAAGTCCTTGGTCAGCAGCAAGGGGGTAATAAGTGAACATTGATCACTTGGCAGCACTGAAAGAAGCAAAGTCTCAAAGTGTACCCGCTGGACATGCACTGGAATAAAGTACCACAAAAGTATCACCACTGGAAAAGCCAGATATTCATGGATCTTTAAGAAGCAGGGACAGATTGCTAAGGGCAGACAAAGGAGGGAACAAACAGGAGTAGAAATGTCACTGTAAAGCAACTTTAAGGGAAAACAAAAGCAGATGCATTTGAAATCCACCTTCAAGTTTCCCATTAGCACTGTGTAGTTGAGATGCTGGGATTGCAGGCAGGACCCATCGAAGGAGGCAAATGTTTTGCACTGCTAGGTACTTTGACAGAAGAATCCCAGTCCTCTGGTGAGATAAGGTGGAATGGATAACAACATTTTTACCTTCTGCTACTATGTCATGTAAAGAAACCTGTTCTTGAATGGCAATGTTTGTAGAAAACTTACCTTTCCCCGTGCTTGAAATAACTACACGGTCAATCACAAAGCTGTTGATGGCTATTAGAGCCAGGAAAGCTATGAAAGGTAGATACAAAGGATTAAAAATTGTGAAACAAAAATGTCAGAAAGGAGGAGTTTTTCCTGGGATCGTGGGCCAAAGGTTCCCCTGGCTAACTCCCCCGGAACAATGCCAGGAGACAACAGCCTCATGTCTTTGTCAATACAACTTGCCTGCAGGGAGCTTCCTGGCTCAATTTAACTGTTGCTTTTCCCTCGCAGACTTCAAGGAGGCCTTCCTCCTCTTTGACAGGACTGGTGATGCCAAGATCACCCTGAGCCAGGTTGGCGATATCATCCGGGCGCTGGGGCAGAACCCTACAAATGCCGAGATCAACAAGATCCTGGGCAACCCCAGCAAAGAGGGTAAGTACCCTACAGTCTCTCACGGGCCTTTCTTCAGGCTGGGGAACTGCAATTAGGCAACATCAATAGTCAAAGGAGGAGGGAGAGGAGCTTTTGCTCTGATAGGGGAGCAAGGGTGGGGGGCTCTGCAGCAACAATACATGGAATTTCTCCAGTTCCTTTTGAAGAGGATGATGATGGGGAATACAGTGCTCAGAAAGAGGAAAACCTTCTCCTTAGGCTATGGAGAATTCTCTGTAGGGATCATTTCGGTGTTAACTTGGTGTAGGTGTAACACACACTCATTGCTGCTCACAGTCCATCTGTGCCCCAGCCTTTGCTGAGGAGCTGTAAGTCCACTTCTAACAGCTGATACTCAGTTCTTCAGGTCCTTCCAGTGCAGGACCTTCTGCATAAGCCAGGACATGCCCTGGGACTGGAAACCCACCTGTATATTTCTGCTGACTGGGGTGGTCTGCTCAAAGCTCCTACAAACCTGGGCATGCTGAGGCATATGTTGGCCATTTATTATAGCAGCCATTTTCTATTTCCTTTTCTCCCCTCTTAGAGATAAAAGAAATGGTAAATACTGTAGTCACCTCCTTCTAACAAGGACCTAACTGCAGGTGATCCCTGATTTCAGTCATGCAGAACCATATTAAGATGGGCTAAATTATATCCAAACCCTCAGGCCTGGTAAAGGCAGCTCTGAGGAACGATTCAGAAGACTCAAGTTAAGCATTAGC